GGTGGCATCACGGTGCGTGAAGTGCGTTGTTGAATTTCAAGTCCCTTTTATATCCGTACATACTTTAGTTTAAATTTTGGCATGTTTCACCGATGCATGAAGACCAAATTAGTGACGTTACATCATCACCGAGCAGATCCTAAAATTACATCAGTCGCGATGACCGGGTGTTCCCTCAGGGAGGCACTGTGCCTTGAACACCTATTGGGCTTTAAGCTTAACCCAGACCTCAAGTGGATACGATCAATCGCTAACGATCCTGTGAAAACGGTGTGTTCCTTGTACATTATGGTTTTAGAAGTGTTTGTGACAATGTATGAGGTTTGTAGGTAATATAATGTTATTATTTTTGTGACGTCCTCGGTAAGACGTTGAACAACATCCGCATTCTGGGTAAGACGATAAACTACGACCAGCAGCAAGGCCTCTGGCCAGGAGGTTTTGATGAGCGTGGAACCCCTCTTAATTGCTGGTGTTCCCAGGTCCACCCTGAACCGGGGTGGTAGTACCTGTTAGGGGCCCAGCAATGCTTCTTTGAAAAAATTATTGCAATTTTGAAGGAAAAATATTACCAGAAACAGATTTTTGGCAAAACAAAATATTACCAACATTAAAGAATTTTTTCGGAATTGAGTAGCCCATTGGGGTTGGTGTGTCGTGGAACAAAATAAACCAAACCAATCTAGACCAAAAGTATACAAATTCTGTTCATATGAATCTATCCTAAAAATGTTGTCAGCATTAAATAACCCATTGAGGTTGATATGCCGTAAAACAAAATAAACCAAACCAATCTAAACCAAGGAATACATATTCTATTCATAATGAATCTATCCTAAAATGTTGTCAGCATTAAATAACCCATTGAGGTTGATATGCCGTAAAACAAAATAAACCAAACCAATCTAAACCAAAGAATACATATTCTATTCATACGAATCTATCCTAAAAATGTTGTCGGCATTAAATAACCCATTGAGGTTGATATGCCGTAAAACAAAATAAACCAAACCAATCTAAACCAAAGAATACATATTCTATTCATACGAATCTATCCTAAAAATGTTGCTATCATTAAATAACCCATTGAGGTTGATATGACGTAAAACAAAATAAACCAAACCAATCTAAACCAAAGAATACATATTCTATTCATACGAATCTATCCTAAAAATGTTGTCGGCATTAAATAACCCATTGAGGTTGATATGACGTAAAACAAAATAAACCAAACCAATCTAAACCAAAGAATACATATTCTATTCATACGAATCTATCCTAAAATGTTGTCGGCATTAAATAACCCATTGAGGTTGATATGCCGTAAAACAAAATAAACCAAACCAATCTAAACCAAAGAATACATATTCTATTCATACGAATCTATCCTAAAATGTTGTCGGCATTAAATAACCCATTGAGGTTGATATGCCGTAAAACAAAATAAAACCAAACCAATCTAAACCAAAGAATACATATTCTATTCATACGAATCTATCCTAAAATGTTGTCGGCATTAAACAACCCATTGAGGTTGATATGCCGTAAAAACAAAATAAACCAAATCAATCTAAACCAAAGAATACATATTCTATTCATACGAATCTATCCTAAAAATGTTGTCGGCATTAAATAACCCATTGAGTTTGATATGCCGTAAAACAAAATAAACCAAACCAAACTATTTTTGTGTTGACACATTCTTTTTTATTTGTGTTGATTTTGTACTTTTTTTTTTTTTTTTTTCAGTTATGTTCACCTTGTTCAAGGCCCGGGGGCCTCTCAAGGTAGATGGTTACAGAATAAGAGGCAAACCATATGTGGATAAAATAACGGTTAACTGAGGCTTGTAAGACTTGTTAAGATTGTAGTGATCGGGGATGGACACCTTCGGTAGCACAAGACAGTAATTCCTAGAAATAAGATGCTCAAGTAGATCTTTACATCTAAAAAAGAAATAGGAAGGTAATGATGGTGGTTCTCTACAATGGGCGTGGCAGGATGGGTCTTAATCGTGAAGGTTGGAGTGTAGTTCGTCTGAGCACTCTCCGTGGAAATAAGAGCAGTGAGGGGCCTGCGACGTCTCGTCTGTGATAAAAACGGGTTGTAGGGTGGAAAATGATTCGTTATCCACAAGGACTTTTTTCGAGTCTGGAATAGTGAACACTGGATAGCTCCCGCCAATTTGTGGAAGCAGTACTCCATTTCCGGCCTGATCTGGCCCTTGCAAAGGTATTGGATAGCAGGAAGCGTGAGGTACATGCTGCAGACGTACAGGGAACCGAGCATTTTCCCTGCATCTATAGCGATGGATCGCATGTATGACTCCACTTGAGGTCTGGGTTGAATTTCAGTTCCAATATGCGCTCAACACACGGGGCCTCCCAGAGGGAATATTCGTTCACCGTGATCGGTGAAAATTCTGGATCTATCTATCAAATCTGTTCATTTCTCTCTATCAACCTATCTATCTATTGATTTCTCTTTATCTATAACTAAAATGAAAAATGAATTACGTTCGAATGTAGATTTGGTTGGTTATATCTATCTATCTATCTATTTATCTATCTATCTATCTATCTATCTGAGTCTGTTCATATCTGTATATCTATCTATCCGAGTCTGTTCATATCTATCTATCTATCTATCTATCTATCTATCCGAGTCTGTTCATATCTATCTATCTATCTATCTATCTATCTATCAATCTATCTATCTATCTATCCGAGTCTGTTCATATCTATCTATCTATCTATCTATCTATCTATCTATCTATCCGAGTCTGTTCATATCTATCTATCTATCTATCTATCTATCTATCTATCTATCTATCTATCTGAGTCTGTTCATATCTATCTATCTATCCGAGTCTGTTCATATCTATCTATCTATCTATCTATCTATCTATCTATCTATCTATCTATCTATCCGAGTCTGTTCATATCTATCTATCTATCTATCTGAATCTGTTCATATCTATCTATCTATCTCTATGCGTATATGTATCTATCTTTTCATTTCTACCTGTCTGTCGGCCTATCTATTCATTTTTATCGATCTATTTATCATTTCTATCTATCTATCTATCTATTTCTTTCTTTCTTTCTATCTGTTCATTTCTATGCATGTATGTATCTATCTATCTCTTCATTTCTACCTATCGGCCTATCCATTTTTATCTATTTATCATTTCTATTTATCCATTGCTATCTATGCATCTATCTATCTATTTCTTTCTTTCTTTCTCTATCATTTCTATTTATCCATTTCTATCTATTTCTTTCTTTCTTTCTTTATCTATCATTTCTATTTATCCATTTCTATCTATTTCTTTCTTTCTTTCTTTCTTAATCTATCATTTCTATTTATCCATTTCTATCTATCTACCTATTTCTTTCTTTTTTCTATCTATCATTTCTATTTATCCATTTCTATTTCTTTCTTTCTTTGTTCTATCTATCTATCTATCTATCTATCTATCTATTTATCTATCTATCTATCTCAGTCTGTCTATCTGTACAAACACGCACCCACCGTATGAAAATGAGAGACTGCCCTACACATAGTAATAGACCGCAATAGACACTAAATATTACATAAAGCAAGATAGCGAACACACATACACACACAAATTCACTTATACTATTTCTTTCCTGAACACATATTCAGATGTTTAAATGAATACATATGTATTCCTCCATGTGTATGTATGTATGCTTGCTAGTATGCAGGTATGTATGTATCTGCGCAAATATGTGCGTGTACTTGTAACTCATTCTTGACCATAGAATAGCACACACACACGTACTCACACACCAATCTCTCTCTCTCTCTCTCTCTCTCTCTATATATATATATATATATATATATATGTAGTTTTTAGATACAAGAAGATACGTTGTTCTATGCATTTCTGCCTATGTGAATGAATGCGGGCGGTGCTACTGCTGATGCGTATGATATTCACTGTGAGTACATACACACGTATGTGGTGTGTGTATAACTGTATATATATTGACATGTGTACTTAACATCATGTATCCCCGCGTATGTACACACAAGAGACTGTCGGGGTGAAAACTTTAGATTTTGGCATATAATTTCTTTTCAACTTACTCGCACGCCAAACTGCGTGTGAAACTAAAGTATAAAAATAATAATAATAATAATAATAATAATAAATAGAGTCATAGTCTCACTCTAATAATAATAATAATAATAATAATAGTAGTAGTAGTCTATCAAACTCATTAATAATAACAGTAACAATAACAACGTTAACAATAATAATAATAGCGTGCTGTTCTCAAACTCAATAGTAATAGTAGTAGTAGTAATAATAATAATAATAATAATAATAATAATTGTTCTCAAACTCAACAACAACAACAATAATAATAATAATAAAGTTGTAGTTGAAACACTCGGATTGATTGTAAAAAGGTTCTGAAGGGATTCCTTGTAGACCCCAGACCTTAAATTTTAAATAACAGGAAATAATCGTAATCATAATAATAACAATAACAATAATGATAATAATAATAATAATAATTAATAATAATAATAATAACAATTCCCGTTGTAGTTGGAGCCCTAGGATTGGTTGGAAAAGATTCCAGTAGACTAATTGAAGGGATTCCTGGAAGTCCATGCCTCAAGGAGATACAAAAAATTGTTCTGACAAGTACAGCCCACACTTTACGAAGGGCTTTCCTTTATCTATGTAATTTTTTTTTTTGTCAGTGGAAAGTGTCATGATGCCGTTTCTAACCTTAGGTCCCTAGGCGGGACCCGGAAAGAAATGTGTAAACGCCAGAAATCAAGGAAAATAAAAATAATAATAATAATAGCGCTGTAATCGACTCAATAATAATAATAATAATAATAATAATAATAATAGTCTGCTATCAAGCTCAATAACAATAACAATAATAACGTTAACAACAATAATAATAATAATAATAATAATAATAATAATAATAGTGTGCTGTTCCCAAACTCAACAACAACAACAATAATAATAATTTGTCTCCATGCTACACACTTGGCACAGTTTTCATACTTTTGGATTTTAATTGATCGAATGTTAGCATGTATTTTGTCAAGGTGGATTACGATGTTCAGTATCAAAGAATTGCTTGTCAGTTGCTCGACATTAGCCAGGTGGGAGTAATGGGGAAGAACCATAGCCAGAGGTCGAAAAAAGCTGTTTATTTATTTTTAAGTTTGAAGGATGAAGCAGCCAGAGCAACTTGGGAGTCACACCTAAATACTTGACCCCCCCCCCACCTTCCCTGTGAAATCCAGGGTTAACCTGAGATTATTTTCAACTGGGTTCCACCTGTAATGTTATGCATTTTTTTTTTGTTTTTTTTTTAAATTCAAACCTGTCACCACCATATCGCGCGTTTTTGGCTGTGATACATGTTCCCTGCATAATCTTTACCAGGGTGGGTGTCTTCTTGATGGGTATGTTTCTTTACGTTTCGCATATTTGCACCCTTTCTTGGCACGTTGCTCTCCGACCAATAATAATAATAATAATACATGTCATGTTCACACTTCTACCCGATCTTTCAAACAGGAGTAGAGTTATCCCTTGTTTCCTGTTTAGGATTTGGCTTCCGGTTCCTTCTAAAGTAGACTTTAGCTCTACATTCCTAACGCTTGTTCTTTCCTATGCTAATAAATCCACACAGTAACCTTCTACCTTGAGTGACTCTTGGGCCTTGTATTGAGCGAATATTAGTAAAAAAAACAAGCAAAAAACAAAAAAAAGTGGGGCATGAAAGTTTATGTGGATGTCACAGTTATATAACACAACTGAGTAAAAGTGTGAGTGTGTGTGTGTGTGTGAGAGAGAGCGAGAGAAGGGGAGGAGAGATGCATAAATACCAGGACCTTGCCCGAGAACTGAAGGAACATTTTAGTCTAAAATTTTTAGACGAGTGTAACCATCAATATCGAAACGTTTCTTGAATATATTTGTTTGTTTACTTTAATTTTATTTTTTTGTTTAAAAAAACAAACAAAAAAAAAAACGGAAACAAACTTATACTGGAAAACTGATGCAAGGATATTCTTTAAAAAGGTTTAATGAAAATTTAAAACCAACAAGACTACATTGCGACGTACTAGTAGTGAAAGCCATCGATCAAATAATAATAATAATAATAATAATAATAATCATCATCATCATCATCATCACCATCACCATCACCATCACCACCATCATCATCATCATCAGTCAGGAAAACAGATGTAAATAAACAAAGACATGTAGAATATCAGGTAGTGGATGTCGCTGTTCTGTCAGGCAACAGTAAAATGATGCGTGCGTGTGTGTATGTGTGTGCGTGTGTGTAAAAAAAAGAGTGTGTGTGAGTGTGCGAGAGAGACAGAGAAAGAGAGAGAGAGAGAGTGAGAGAAAGATGGAAAAGAAGTACACCACGCACGACCTTGCTCGAGAACTAACAGAAAGACAACTAGACGATTGTAACTTGCCATTTAAAAAAAAAACCCTTGGAATCCTTATTTTTTAACGCCCTTTTACCAAAAAAAAAAAAAGGAAAAAAGAAAAGAAAAAAGTCTTCGAAATCCGAAAAAGCAAAAGAATAAAAAATAAAAAACATTGAAAGACAACTCTGCGATTTGCTGTCACTTGATCCCAGTGAGAATCACTGAGCATAATAATAATAATAATAATAATAATAATAATAATAATAATAATAATAATATTTTTGTAAATATGCATGCGTATCCACTTGACATTTTTTATGAGCGCCTGCAAAAACGAAAACTTGCTTATGTCTGTATGTGTGTAGTGTAATTCCTTGTCGTTTTAGAAAAGAGACCAAGATTTTCCTCGATACAGACAATTATTGACGTTTCCTTTGTGACTGTATAAAATTGTTACTGTGTATAAATAAAAAAATATAATTAAAAAGATGTTTCTATTGAGACGTGTGTGAAAAAAATAGCGTGTAAAAAAAATAAAGTGCTCTTAGAAGATAAGTAAGTGTTACCAATAAATCGTGAGAGAGAAAAAAGATAAAGGCTCACTAGTATCAGTCAGCCTTTTTAAAAAGTAACCACTAGTCCAAAAATAAGTAAGGACTTTGAAAATATTTACAAGGTAAAGACAGAGAGAAAATATAGTGGTTTTTCTTATATGTGATGAGGGTTAAGAAGAGAAAACGTGCCCCTGTAAATTGGGTGAGTTAGTTGCCGTGGGTTTTGGGCTAGACCAGTTGCTATCATATTGTGCTGGGGAAGAAGAAGAAAAAAGAAAGAAAGAAAGATAGATAGAAAGATTAAAAAGAAAGAAAGAAAAAGACATGCAAGAAAAGTGAGTGCCAGATGAAGAAAGAGAGGGCAGAAAGCAAAGCAGACACCCAACTGCAGGTTCTGGCTCAAGCTAACGTGTCTAGGCTTGTCGCAGTGACGAGAAGCGATCTGATTGGCTGTTTCCATATAAGGAGCGATGACATCATTTTTAAAACAAAGTAGACCCGTCAGCTAAACTCCAACATTTGTCTAAAAAATTTGCGGGAATTCAACTTACCCATGGTCAATCTACAAGGTAAGCGCTTCGCATTAAAACCAATGCTTCTGAATTAAGTCGAAATGGAATTGTTAAAAAAAAAAAAAAAAAAAAAGAAAAATATAATAATAATAATACATATATACATACATACATACATACATACATACACACACACACACATTTTTATTTATATACAAACTCTAAAACTAGAATTATACTCGACTCACGGAAAAAATAAGTCTATCTAAACACAGATGTCTTTGTGACACAATAAAACAAACTAGACATTTCTAAAAAACCAAAAAAAACCTTCTTACACTATTAAAAAAAAACAAAAAAACAAAACAAATTCAACACCTAAGGTTTGAATATCTTTTTTATTTGATTATAAATATAATCACTTAACATTTACTTCGTATTGTTGATATTTTGCAAATTATTTATCTCTATTGGCCCCTTTTTTAGGCACGTAGTAGCGGCCGTGTTCGTTGTAGTAAAAATAAAGAGTACAGAATTGGAGGGGGGCGTGTGTGTTTATTTTGAAATGAATTATGCGCACTGTAGGCTGCAAAAAAAATTTTACAGGGAGCAAAAACTGGACGATGTACGTGAAAACTGACTTGACAGGCGACATCAGTGGCATCCCGTCTACTAAAATGCCAATTTTCATCATTCTACCTGCATTTGTTAGGATTTTACACGCATCTTATTTCGCATCTCTTCTGAGCTCGTCTGCTTTCTTGCGACTACAACATCACCACCAACAGCCGCCCCCTTCCTTTTTGTTGTAGTAGCAAACGGGTTTTATTTTGAAGGAATTTATACCCAGATTTTATTATAATAAATCAATTTCTCGCTAATAACTGATGATATTCGACACAATAAATAATATACACTTCATAACTGACGCTGTTAAGTGTTATTTATTCTTTAAAAAGCCATAGTTTGGCTGTGTTTTTGAATATTAAATCATACAGTAGTGGCTGTGGACCCCA